AATAAAACTTCATCTAAAAAAAAGAAAATGACATTTTGAAATAGTGCCTATCTGTCCTATATTAACACTGGACAATAGCTTGACAGTTTCTTAAAACATTAACCCCACCTTTACCAAATAGAAACTATTATCACACAAAAATCTTTTTACATATGGACATAACAACTTTATTTGTAGTAATCAAAACACTGTAGTAGTCATGAGTTCTGGCCGCCTAGTGGCAAGAAGCTGTGCTGCAATCCTGAAGGCACACTGTTCAAGGTCTCCAGCTACTCCTTGGAAGAAGGATAGGCAGTCTCTCACGAAATTAACTGCCTCTGAAAACTCACTGGAGGATGAGCTTTGGGTTGATTCTGACAATAGTCAAAACTAGAAATAAGTCAAATGTTCTTTAGTAAATGGATGATTAGACAAATCATGTATCTTCTATACAATTAAGCATTATTAAGCAATTATTCAAATGAAGAATTGTTGTATAAAGAAGCATGGATGGGTCTCCAAAGAACTATGCTAAGGGGCTTGGGGAAGAAGAACATCACAACAGCTATATAGAGCTACATATAGTACATTTATATAACATTCCCAAAATTAGAGAATTGAGAAATAGAAACTAGATTAGTGATTTTCAGGGAGGGGTAAACCAGATAAGGAAAAGTGAATTAGCTATGGATAACAAAGGATGATATGGGTGACCTTTACTGTGGTGGAACAATTCTGAATCTTGATAGCGGTAATTAATCTAAAGATAGGCAATCTCTTCCCACGTGATTTACTGCCTCTAAAAACCCACTGAAGAGTTAGCTATGAGTCAGTTCTAACTTAACAGTATATAACAACAACAATAATGTAATAAAATTACATCAAACACATACAAGTCCATATAAATTGGTAAGATCTAAATAAAGTATCTAGGTTGTACCATTATGAATTTTCTGCAGTTGATATTGTATTATAGTTGTAAGAGGTTACTACTGGAGAGAACTAAATGAAGAATACATGGGACTATCATGTATTGTCTTGGCAACATCCTATGAATCTATAGGTTACTTAAAATAAGAAGCTAAAAATAGCATATACAATAACCTCAAAACCATGAAATCAATGTAACAAAGTAAGTGCAAAGTTTTACACTCTACACTAGAAAACAATGATGAGAAAAACTAAAGACTCACATAAATTGGGATATACCATGTTCATGGATTAGAAGATTTTATATAGTTAAGGTACCATATGTTTAAAAATTGATTTGTAGATTCAATGCAATCTAAAGCAAAATCAATCACAGCAGATATTTTATAGGCAGTTATAAAAATGAATCAAAAATTATGGAATTATAAATAAGTGGGAGTGAGCTCTGGTGGCCTAGTGCAAGAAGCTGCACTGCAATCTTGGAGGTACATGGTTCAAATCCACCAGATTCTCTGTTGGAGAAGGAAGGACAATCCATGGTCTTTGCTGTCACTTGTTATGCATCAGAGAGTTGGACAATGACTAAGGAGGATAGAAGGAGAATTTATTTCTTTGAACTATGGTGCTGGAGAAGAGTATTGAGGGTATGGACTGCTAGGAAAACAAACAGATTCATCCTGGAAAGGGTTAAACTGGATGGCTCCTTGGAGGATCTGGATTCTGAAGGATTCTGAGGCTCCATCTAACATGCTTTGGACATGTTGTAGGGAGAGACTGGTCCTTGGAAAGGGACATCATGCTTGGGAGGGTGGAGGGACAGCTCAGGAGGGGAAGGCCCTCTATGAGGTGGATTGATTCAGTGACTGGGGTAATAAGGGTAGATGTGTCAGAGACAATAAGATTGGCACAGGATAG